CATTAAGAAGTATTTATTTAGCAAAAATACATTTAGCATGTAGCTCTGCTGGTTGATAAAAGTTTTATTTATGTCATTTAGGTTTTCGTTTTTTATCTCTGTATCTGCTCTTTTATCTCTCTGGAATCAGTCCAGGCAGTTGGTCTAACTCTGGTGTATTTTAATTCCTGGCATTTATCTAGAGTGCTCTTTAAAACTACAAGCCCTCCTCTAAACAACTTTTGGAACAACTCTTTAAAACAATCAGAACAAATTATCCACTTTGATGACCAGGGAGTGAAACATACTTAACTTTCTTCTGTGTTAGAATACACTTCTAATTTTATGAGTTTCTTTTGTTTTAAACACAACATGCAAATTTAGTCTTAAATGCAGAGCAAATGCCTATAACCATGAAGAGGTCATGTGGACTCTTCTATCTTTAATATCTATCTTTGAAAGATACTAGTGTGAAAAAGAACAGATCAGGCTGCTCATGTCTAAAAGTGAGATATATAATTTATTTTTAAACATTATTTTTAAGAAAAAAAATGTGTGTTTTGTTACATTTAACAGCTTTTACCTATAAATGGATAATTGCCTTGCCCTGCAGAAGAACAGAAGTCATCCTGCTAAATCTGGTTGGCAACAAATCCACTCTTCCAAGTCTTCTGCAAGACAAGCTGGTCTCTTGGTCTTGTTCCTTGAGAAGGGCTTTCTACACAACAGAACCAACGTGCTACCTGGCACCACTGCAGGCAAGTATGGCCAGCAGCTAACAGAGCTTGGCAACCGAACTGCTCTCTTCCCCCCAAAAAAGCTTCAAAATTCAGAAAGCAAAGACAGAGTGTGGGGAACCACAGGGAAATGTCGATGCCATAATTACTGATACAATTTGGTCTATTTGTCAAGCAGAACCAGGACTTTAACCTTTTGGCATGTAGGTTTAGAGCCCTTCACAGAGACTGTTTAAAGCAAACACACACACAAAAGTTGGTAAGTAACTCGAGGTCTTTTCCAAGAGGAATGGCACAGAGTTGAATCTGAGGGAGCACAAAGCTGCACGACCAGACTCCAATTCAGAAAAAACAAAGAGAAGTATTATTGTGCTCCTGCAGCACAAGGCGACCCACGCAGAGCATTTGTGCACTTCAAGGCTCTCCAGAAGATCACTCACTGCTTAGTGGCAGTGGTCACACCACCTGCTGCCAGCAGCACTGCCCAAGAGGGCCTCAGCTCACTGGTACCACCATGGAACAGCACACACATAAGAAAAGCTTCAGTCGAGTCACAAAAGATGTGATTTTAAACCCAGGGAGGAGGAGAAATTTCCTGGATTAAGTGAACCAGAGAGATATTTTAATCAGAACACAAAAGAAGGCTGAGACAAACACCAACTGACTCGGCTCATATCGCATCAATAATCCATGCACAGAGGCTCTGCTGAAATCAATGGAGGGCTTGTGCCTAAGTGGATTGTATAACATAAATGCATGCCCCTATTTAGGGCTCCACACACAAAAGACAAAGCAGTACTGAGAACAATTCCCTTAATTAACATTTCTCTTCCATCAAGGGCTTCTAAAATAATAAATCCTAACTTCACATATAGCTCTGTTTTCGTTCAGTTTTTACCAGAGGTGGTAAAACAACTGACCCCATTTGACAAATAAGGGAACCACAGCACAGGATGCAAATTAAACTGAAGAGCAGGACAGCAGGCAGAACTCAACTGGGAAACAGCAGTTTACCTTCTGAATCACACTTTAATGTTCTAGATATTTAGATGCTTATCTAGTTCAAGTCTCTAATTAGGGTGATTCTGTGCAGTCCTCAAATAATTTTGCATACGTCCTAAAGCACCTGTGCACAGCCATATGCTTATCTCTCTGAGTTTCCCACTCAATAAAGTCCATTTTTTGAGGCTTGTAAATATTCTGCAGAGGTTCAAAACACTGGGCTGCCCTGGCCAGATGCCCTTGGTACCCCAGGAGACTTACTACTCAGCGACAATAATGGATTTTTAAATTGGCTGTCAAATCCACACTTTTCACATGCTTTCTATTGTTTAAAAAAGGAGGAAGAAAAAAAGAGAAGAAGAAAAAAACCACAACAAAACAACACCTTTAAATTCAAAATACCAATTCATTAGCTGGAAATGACCTAACTAATCCTCGTGTTCCAAATTGACATCTGTCCACAAGAAAAAGCCAGACTGGATCTCTATACAATAAAAAAGTGCATTATTGACAAGATGCCAGTGTAAAACATCAAATACACTGATGGCAACAAAATTTCCAGTCTCATTAGTCTACAGTCATTTGACAACAAAGCCAAGTAAGGAGGAACATAATCCATGCTGTAATCTGACCCCCCCAAAAAGCATCAGGTTTATTAATGCAAAATTAAGTTATTAATAAAAGAACAGTTTCACTTGCATGCTATGACAAAATCTGACTTCACCTACACATGCTTTCTATTGTTTAAAAAAGGAGGAAGAAAAAAAGAGAAGAAGAAAAAAACCACAACAAAACAACACCTTTAAATTCAAAATACCAATTCATTAGCTGGAAATGACCTAACTAATCCTCGTGTTCCAAATTGACATCTGTCCACAAGAAAAAGCCAGACTGGATCTCTATACAATAAAAAAGTGCATTATTGACAAGATGCCAGTGTAAAACATCAAATACACTGATGGCAACAAAATTTCCAGTCTCATTAGTCTACAGTCATTTGACAACAAAGCCAAGTAAGGAGGAACATAATCCATGCTGTAATCTGACCCCCCCAAAAAGCATCAGGTTTATTAATGCAAAATGAAGTTTTATTAATAAAAGAACAGTTTCACTTGCATGCTATGACAAAATCTGACTTCACCTACAGAACCAGCTTTTAGCTAAACACACACTGTCTGTCTCTTCCTGAGGTCCCGAGTATCTCTCCCCCCCATGAAACTCCAACTTTGAGTGCTTAACATCTTGTGAAAGATTGATTCAGCAACACATCTACTTTCCAGTTTACATCTCACATGTGTTAAGTATTACATTACAAAGGTTTAGGGCCAATAACAAGCATGTTCATTTCCTTAAGGACAGATGCAAGTCCATAATACTGTGAAAACAACATATTTTGAGTTGAATGAGCCTTCTGCTCTTTACAATTGCAGTATTCAATTGCTTTTAATTATAACTTTTCAGGACTGGCTTGTTCTGTCTTTTCTTTTTTCAGATTTATTTTTTCTTTAGAGTTTAAATCTATCAATGACAGAACGAGCAGGAAAAGTGCCTGCTGCAAAAAGGCCACATTTCCAGAAGACTGCTTGAAGAGCTATTTTTCTGATTCATCACAGCATTTATTTTCTTTTTCAAGTTGACAAAACAAACACCACACCCACTTGATTTCCGAGTTCTGGGTAATTATCCCTGGAATTAGCAAGCAGCGTGCAACTATTAATCATACGACGTTGAGCCCTTACTTTACCTATTTAGAAATAAGCCAATGCGTTCAAACGCAGGCTGTTTAGCATTTTCTTGAAGAGATATCCTCATCGTTTAATTCTGCACCTCCAGCACCGACGCAGGCAGCCACAGACACGGAGAATATAGGGCAGCCCATTCAGCCAACCCCTCTGCCCCAAGGCAGGATCAGCTGCTCCTCAGCCACCATTATCGCTGATGATACACCAGAACTGGTTATTTCAGGCAGCAGCTTTACACAGGAACTCACAAAACACATCATAAATTACAGGAGAGAAGCGTGTTGCAAAGTCTGCAGCGCCTCAAAACCGGGACGGCGCAGAAGCCGGGCTCCCAAGGACACAGAGTCAAAAATCAGAGCTGCCCCAAGACGCGAGTCCGGATTTTCTGAAAGCGGCACCTGGCACCGCTAACGCCGCCTTTGGGAACAGCTCGCCTTGTTGGAACTGGACGAACCACCCCAGGACTCTCGCCGAGCCCCCATCAGGATGACACACACCGGAGCGCCCGCACACCCGAGGGATTCTCTCCCTTCACACAGGACACACACACACACACACACACACACACACACACACACACACACACACAGTCCCGCAG